TCCGGCCAATCCGTGATCAGCAGAGTTTACACTTCACGTTTTGGTAACGGTATGGTTCACTTGGAACCTCAACCGAGGTGGTACTAAAAAATGTACCAGGTACCAGGTACTGTACCCAGTGGAAAACCCCCCAAAAGTGAACCGTACCGAGACGTACCGTGCCGTACCATGCAGTGGAAAAGTGCCATAAGTATACCATTTTGGTTGGCCTGATTGTGGTCCAATGCTGGTGGTGTCAGCTCAGTTTCAGTACCCAGACTCAGGCCAGTACTGGCTAAGTGTTTCATTTCTCATCGGTGTGATTGTGGCCCAGTGTCGGTGGTGTCGACTTAGTTTTAACACCCAGACTTGGGCCAGTACCGGCTAAGTGTTACAATTATTGTCGGCATGATTGTTGCCCAATGCTGGCAATTTCGGCAGCCGGAAAGGAAAGTAGGCAAGACTAGGCTAGACAAAACAGGAAACAGGATAACAGTCAACAGCGACAAGAGCCAGGTTAACTCAGCAGAGCAAAGATTTCGATCTTGCACAGGACAGAAAACAAGAGGGGAATATAAGGGTGCCTACTGATCAGAAACAGGTGTTACCCCTAACGAGATAAGGTAACGAGATGGGCGGGGTAACAATAGATAATAGAGCACATGGCAAACATAATTACCAACTGACAGCCATGTGCTCCAGACAGACCAGGACACAACATAAACAAACCCAGATCAGACCGGCGCCTTGACAGTACCCCCACCTCCAGGAGCGACCCCGGACGCTCCAGGAACAGAGGAGGCCTGTCGGCGGTGGAAATCCTCAATCAAGGAGCGGTACAAGATATCCCGAGACGGCACCCAGCACCTCTTCCCAGGACCATACCCCTCCCAGTCCACAAGGTACTGGTATCCCCTACCACGCCTTCTGGCATCCAACAGCCTCCTAACAGAGAACACAGGGGAACCGTCAATGAGACGGGGGGGAGGGGGGGGGAAGGAGCAGACACACCTGGGTTCAAACGGAAAGAAATGACAGGCTTGACACGAGACACGTGAAAGACAGGGTGGACACGAGCAAAGACAGATGGGAGCCTGAGCCGCACTGCCGCCGGACTTACAACTTTAGTAATGCGGTATGGCCCCAAGAACCTGGGTGCCAGCTTGCGTGTTGGCACCTTAAGGGGCAGGTCCTTAGTGGAAAGCCATACCCTCTGCCCACAAACATACTTCCACCAGAGCAGTGTCCTTAGCGGACGGCAATTTGGGTAGGGGAATAAAGTGTGCCGCCTTCGAAAAAACAGTCCACAACCGTCAATATCACGGTATTGCCCCTGGAGGAGGGGGAGGCCAGTAACAAAGTCCAGGGCAATATGGGACCGGGGCGGGTGGGGATGGGCAAAGGCCGCAGCAGACCAATGGGAGGCTTGTTAGAAGTCTTGTTCTGGGCGCAAACAGAGCAAGCAGCCACGAACTGTCTGACATCCTGGGGCAGTGAAGGCCACCAAAAACGCTGGCGGGCAGAAGCCAACATTCTCCGCACACCTGGATGGCAGACCAGCCTAGAAGAATGACTCCACTTGAGGACCGAAGGACGCAACCGACCCGGAACAATCAACAGACCAGTTGTGCAACCTCTCGGGACCTCCACCCCCCGCAAGACCTCCCTGACCCGCCTCTCAATACCCCAGGAAATAGCCGCCACCACAACACCCCGGGATAAAATGGTGTCAGGCGGCACCCCGCTCCCCGGACTGGCAAAGAGACGAGACAGGGCGTCCGGCTTGATATTCTTGGACCCAGGCCTGTACGAGAGTGTGAAACGGAACCGATCAAAGAAGAGGGCCCACCTAGCCTGCCGAGAGTTCAACCTCTTGGCTGAACGGACGTATTCAAGATTATGATCCGTCTTATGATCCGTCCAGACTAAGAAGGGCTCCGCCGCCCCCTTCAGCCAGTGTCGCCACTCACCCAGTGCCAGCCTAACCACAAGCAGCTCACGATTCCCGACATCATAGTTACGTTCTGCCGGGCTCAGGCTGTAGAAGAATGCACATGGGTGCACCTTCCCATCAAGGGGGAAATCGCTGAGAGAGGACCGCCCCAACCCCGACCTCAGAAGCGTCAACCTCCACAATAAACTGCAGATCAGGGTCTGGAACAAACAAGACAGGTGCAGACGTGAAACATGATTTAAGTCTCGTAAAAGACCCCTGTGCCTGCTCCGTCCACCTGAAAGGAACACAAATGGAGGTTAGAGCAGTTAAAGGAGCAGCAGATTGACTGTAGTTCCGGATGAAATGCCTATAAAAATTAGCGAATCCCAGAAACCGCTGCAATGCTCTACGAGAGTCGGGGACTGGCCACTCGGAGACGGCCCTTACCTTGACAGGATCTACCTTAACCCCCTCTGCCGAGATTATCTGTCCCAGGAACGGAACGGAGTCTGCATGGAATGTGCACTTCTCCACCTTGACATACAGCTGGTTCTCTTTGTGACAAAAAGCGCTCCATGCCAACACAGAGTTCTCAGCCCAACTAATGTGGGGGCTGTGTTTCACCAGCCACGGGTTCCCCAGCACAATAGGTGTGCTGGGAGACTCGAGGAGGTAAAACGCTATCTCCTCACTGTGGTTACCGGAAACAGTTAAAAACTTACAGAGGAAGTGACGTGAGTAACTTGGGTGAGAATGGAGCCATTGAGGGCCCTGGCAGTGAGTCTCTCCTTGAGAGGGGTGGTAGGAATGCCCCAACGAGCCACCAGGGTAGCATCAATGAAATTACCCTCAGCCCCAGAATCCACCAGGGCTGAGCATGGCCTTGAAAAAGGTCCCCACTTGACAATGGCAGGCAGCTGAGTAAGGAATACAGGGGAATCTGATACAGGGGTGACACTCACCAGTACTTCCCCATCTACTGGTGAGCTCTGGCTTTTAAAGGACATGCTGCAGCGAAATGCCCAGATCTTCCACAGTAAAGACAAAGTCGTTGGTTGAGGCGTCGCTGCTTCTCCTCCGCTGCCAGCCGGGTACACCCCACCTGCATGGGCTCTCCTTCAGGAAGCGGCTCAGGGCGAGCAATAGCAGCCTCAGAGACAGAACGAGGAGGGATTTGCCCAGGAGAGTGAGCCATGACCCGTTGACGGCGTAGATTGATTCGCGTCTCGACACGAAGTGCCAGATCCACCAGGTCATCAAATGAAGCCGGAAGGTCTAGTATGTTTTCCCAGGAAAATGTATATGCACATGAACAATGTTTTAGAAAAGTCAGTGACTGATGACTCGCCCTGCCTCAGTCTGACCAGCTGACTGGCTGCCTCCTTGCCAGCAACTGAACGATCAAACACCTTGATCATCTCCCGACGAAATCTCTCAAATGTGGCACAGTACGACGCTTCCTTCTCCAAAACTGTAGTTCCCCACTCTCGGGCCTTCCCAGTGAGTAGGGTAATAACAAATGCGACCTTAGCCGCTTCAGTAGCAAAGGTGGTGGACTGCAGGGTAAACGTGATGGCACACTGGGACAGGAATGGGCGACAAGCCCTAGGATCCCCATCATAAGGCGGCGGAGTAGGCACTCTAGGTTCTGGAGCTGTCCGGGCAAGAACAGGAGCTGAAGCAGCGGCAAAGGCTGCAGCCCGAAGGCTATCCTGGTCCCGCATCAACTCCCTGACTTGGTTAGTGAGTTCAGTAACTTGAGAGGACATCACATCTACCTCTCTAGTAGTTTCCGTGAGCCGTGTGGCATGTTGACCAAGCAGCACCCCATGCTGGACGACGGCCACCCGGATCTGGTCCGACCCCGCTGATTCCATGCTGGCCAGATCTAACTGTCAGGGGTGGTAAAGGAAGAGGAATCAGTTGCAGGGATAACAAGGGTTTTACTGAGATTCAAAACAAACAGGAACGAAGCCACTGTCCTAGAGGGTAATCTGGAGAGATCCCAACCAAGTCCGGGGAAGAGAAAGTCAGCTCAACAGCAGGTATATAGGAAAAGGGGTTTTCCAGAGCAAATGGCCGTGAGTAACAGTCCACAAGCAACGAGACAATCCAGCTCTCCAAATAATTCCAGGGGCCAGAGAATGGCGATGGTGGAAGGGAGCGGGAGAGGAACTCCCGGAGGGAGCAGGGAATGCTGAGCAGCGAGGGGAAGGAGGCAGGAGGCAGACAGAAGGGAGTCCAGCAGCCAGGGCAGACGGGGAGCTGGAGAGGGCAGAGGGGAAGGGGAAAAAAAATGAACATAAAACTAAATGGCTGGAGCTAAAACTAGGAACTAGAAAGAACTGGGCTGGATCAAAAGAAAAACCCTAATATCAAAAGTAAAATAAAAGCTAAGGAAACTAGGCAAGACAAAACAGGAAACCAGGA